AATGAACATTCAATTCACGGGCAACAGCTCTGGTGGACATTCCTGCAGTCAGCATGCCAATTGCACGCTCCCTCAAAACTTGCGACATCTGTGGCATTGTGCTGTGTGATAAAACTGCACATTTTAGAGTGGCCTTTTATTGTGGCCAGCCTAAGGCACACCTGTGCAATAATCATGCTGTCTAATCAGCATCTTGATATGCCACACCTGTGAGGTGGATGGATTATCTCGGCAAAGGAGAAGTGCTCACTAACACAGATTTAGACAGATTTGTGAACAATATTTGAGAGAAATAGGCCTTTTGTGTACATAGAAAAAGTCTTAGATCTTTGAGTCCAGCGTATGAAAAATGGGGGCAAAAACAAAAGTGTTGCGTTTATAATTTTGTTCAGTGTATTTACGGTAGGAAGTCTACAAAATATCTTAATGGAACAAGATCTTTACTTAATATCCTAATGATTTTTGGCATAAAAGAAAAATTGATAATTTTGACCCATACAATGTATTTTTGGCTATTGCTACAAATATACCCCAGCGACTTAAGACTGGTTTTGTGGTCCAGGGTCACATATTTGGTTTCTGACTCATTCATTGATCAAGAAGATAAATGACAAGAAGACAAATAAAATATAAATTTGACCTAATGCAGTGTTTCTCAACCCTGGTCCTGAGCGCCCCCCAACACTGCACATGTTTTATGTCTCCCTTATCTGACACCCATTTCAGGTCCTGGAGTTTCTTTTAATGAGCTAATGAGTTGAATCAAGTGTGTTTGATTAGGGAGACACACAAAATGTGCAGTGCTGAGGGGTGCCCAGGACCAGGGTTGAGAAACACTGATTTAATAGTTCACTGTGATACACATTATTCAGTAACCTAGAATGACATATTTCATTTGATGTGTTTTCCCTATAGGTACAGATATGACTCCTAACTACATGGACTCAGGTCACTCAAACTTCACCATCACCCCCTGGTGTACCTGTAGAGGCAGCGGGAATCAGGAGGAAGAGTGTGAGAAATTTCTGCAGGACTTCAGAGAAAACAATTGTCTCCGTAAGTCTTTTTTCTTTTGTTATGACAGCTTTTCGTCTGCAAAGTCTGCGAGCTTCACTCGCCACTTAGCTTTCAGCATTTACATTTAATTCAGAATTTATAAGCAATTGAGGCTGCGGTACTTATATGAGCATGCGTCTGTTTAGAAATAGGTTTCTTTACTACTTTTTAAACTTGAATGCTGCAGCTAAGGTGACAATGTTTGAAACCTGCCATGTTTTGTCTTTACTTTCCATTAGAAAATTCATTCCATGTGTGGAAGCTCTACCCACCTCCAGAATAATAAATGTCTGATTGTTTTGTAACTAATGTCATGCTTGTTAGCAGAAAGTAAACATGTAGGCTGAGGCTAAATAAGGCTTCCAGCCTGACTTGTTATCATGTGCTGCTACAGGACTCCTTTTTTGGTATTTCATAGTGATAATGTGTCAGTTCAGTCATTTAAACTGAGCTTTATGGCTTATTTTAAAAATATAATCTAATTAAATTTATTCATTCATTCATTGGTCATCTAGATTTACAGATTTTAGATGTAGTGTAACATGTTCATTCCTTAGCATTGAATACTCCTAGCATTACATAGACTAAATCTAAATTATATTGTGGCTTTTAGTCTGTGTGTTAAGAATTTACCTTTGTTCACCAATTTTTGTGGGAGAAATCCAGTCATTTTAATAGGAATCCAAGTAACTGTGAATTTTATGGGAGGGTGAAAGATTTCTCCATACAGATTTTGCAACGGGTTCAAGTTGGTCACGTGGATTTGCCGTGTTGACCAACAGAAAGTTTCTTGGTTTGAAAGAGACTTCTGTGTGAGCTGTGCTTCATATATCACTACTCTATTGACAATAGGCTTTTTTTTTTCCTGCAAAATTCGCTAATGTGACCATACCTTTAGCTTTGAGACAATATATATGCTAGTGTTCTCCTAAGCAGTGACTAAGCTAGTCTTTAGAAGATATACACATTTAAGTTTTACAGTCTTTCTCCACATGGAAGATGGGCAAAATTTTGAAAAAAAAAAATAATAATTTGTCCAATCAAATGCTCTCTAGCAAAAGCATGTAGCAAATCATGGTTCATAGCTGTGCCGAAATCATCTTGTTTCTATGCAGTTAGGTACAAGATTGTTTGTCTGCGTTATGCTCAAGGAAAAAACCCATAGATTACACTGAAGCGGTTTCCTGCTAAGTTGACAAGAAAAGGTCAGTTTTTTTGGGAAATAGTGTTAATATTATTTTGTTGATCCGTCTATTTGGGGACATATGTATTTGAGAGCTGAGAAGAAAGAGGACAGACAGACAGACAGATTATTCATGTTTGACAAATGTTGAACAAGTGCCAGTTCTGTGAAAGAGGATTTTTGGTAGAAAACAAAACAAAACACGGGAAAGAACAACTTTACTATCCCTCAACAGACTTTCTGTATCAATGGTTATAAAAAATGCATTATTAGAAATAGGCAAATAAAAATATAATTATTAGGAAGCAAATAAAAGACAATCGAAGATGATGTTTGATTGCTTGTCAGCAATATCTTCCAGAGAGTTAAATAAATAACACAGCGGAAAACGAAAACATAAGATAATAAGCTACAGAGCTTCAGGCATTAGCTCAGGAGACATTTCATCCGATATCCCACTGTGAGATTGCTGAGAGAGATTTCTCAAGTCAAAACAAGCATGGATACGGTGTAATTTGCATGGATTTCATGTAAATCATGGCTCTGTCACCAAATCTAGTGTGATGCTTTCGTAGACACTTTCAAGTGACAGTTAACCAAAGTTAACAATAACTTGTTATGGGTGAATTGCAAGGTACCATTACATATGTCCTTTTTGCAAACAAGATCGCGTAATAAATTGCAATATACATCCAAGATTGGCAGACAAAATTTATGAAATGTTATAAATGTATGTCATTAGCGGAAAGCAATAAACAGTAAACAAATTTGTGTCCTGAGGTTTGATGTTAGCAACATGCTAATAAGAAACTCTTTTGAATTGAATAGTCATATCTCCTGTCTGCTTCATATTAGCAGCATTATTCTTACGCTGTTGGTAAACAGTGGTTAGTGAACTTGTTGACTATTAAGAGTGTTTTAGTAGATACAAGCTCATGGAGGCAGTAGACAGCAAGCCAGCTCACATAATTGTAAGACAGCCTGTGTGTGTGTGTGTGGTGAGATGATGCGTGTCTTGTTTTGTTTTTCTAGCAATTAACTGATTCAAAATCCGCATTGCAGAATTAGCATTTAACTGAACTGCTGACCCCCAAATACAGATAACTATACCTCGCTCTTAACAAACTTGGAGAAGAAGACATTACTTTTCTTCTCAAGGAATCTGGCGAGTTAAATTCTCTGACTTTCTGCGGAAACATTTTCTTATGAAAATGTGCTTTGAATCTATGGGTTTTTTCCCCTTTCTTTTCCCACAGGAAATGCTATCCAGGCCTTCGGCTATGGGTCGCTACCCAAACCTGATCCTCAGCCTACTACAGGCTCAGTGAAACCTGATCTTGAGCTCACTGCCAGCATCCCTAAAACAACTATGGAACCTGGGGAGGAGCCCTGCATCATATCATCCTGTGCGAATTTAAACGTAAGTCAGATTTTATGCGGTCGAGTAGTTTTAGCATTGTATATTGCATCGTAAATTTGAATGATAATATGGATTTGAGTCAGTAATACCATGGTGAAAAAGAAGTGCCCTTAATTGTTTTGAATGCGCACTTGTACCTTCAAAGACTATAGTGGTAATTATGGAATTATATATAAATCTGTACCTAAGTTCTACTGCTACTGCATTTAAATGTAATCTGATACATTTTCATTTAAAACCACTTAAGCTCGGGGCGTTTTTTGGTATTTTCGCCTAAATTTAACATACTCAAATTCAAATGTTTACCCTGCACACATACAATGGAGGAAATGAAAAAAAATGGTTTCATTGTAAAGAATATCCGGGTCCGCAGAGTTTAACTGGTTTTAATTGCAATTAATGCAAGTGAGTGTTGAAAACATTACAATATGTCCACACTTTTATATATTCTATTTTAAATTTTCTATATAAAAAGTTTACTTTTTTCCTCCAAGGATAAGCTTAGTAAGAAATTGAGGTGTTGTCGTCACTGATGCAGAAAGTAAAAGAAGCAGCTGTGTGAATGAATTAAAACACTGAACATGTTGAGGTTAGTTAATATTTAGATCTTACCACTAACAAAGCTGCATTTACAGAACATCAACATACTTTACTCATTTATTTTAGTCATACATATTGTAGTGAAAAAAACATAGCAACATATTTACACACAGGAATATTGTATGCTAACTGTCACTTTGCATTTAATCTGCATTTGATTCATAGTTGACAATAGTCAAGCTATGAACAGCTGTAGAATAAACAAACAACAAGAAATAAATTAGTTGACATTTGTACCTTTGTTTGGTTAATTGCACACACACACACACACACACGCACACACTGCTTTGCAGAGTTTTTCACCTGAGTGCAGAATACTCTCCAGAGATGTTGACGGGCTCATAATTAACATATTAAAGTTGAAAATGTACAATGATTGAATGTGTCTCTGAAAACAGCACAAATAGACCAGACAGAAAAACTGCATGTCACTATTTACACTGTATGATGTATTCGTGTGTGTGTGTGTGTGTGTGTGTGTGTGTGTGTATCTGTACATGCTGAACCAGAAGAGCGATGCTTAATTTATTGTAAAAATTATAATTAGTGCATTACCCAAGCAGGAAGTTTATAATTATAGAGACTGCCTGAGGGGAAACATTGTCAAACTTCACCATTCTCCAGCCATTCTGAAGCATGTCAGATGCGCATCACAGATTCACCCCATTGCTGAAACTCAGATTTTTCTTCTGGTCCCACTCAAATGAAAGATGAATAGTTTGCCATGGGCCATTTTACGCATTCTGACAGGTAGAGAGAAAATGGGCAAAGTCTCGCTCTGTTTACCATGTTTTAATTCCAGGCAGAGTTCGACATCACAGTGATTTTTGGAGGTGAAATTCAAAGGGGGCGCTTTGCTCTGTCTAGCAAGTCCAGTAGCACTTAAAGTTTGCCTGAGGCAGGAAGGAATGTTCCCTCACAGAATCTACATGTAGAAGTGGCATGTCTTGCTCATGGGCACAATCGAGGCAATGATTCTATTCACCCAACATTATAAATCGTCTCCAGTGCTCCATTGGTATGAATGATCAGATATTCATCTGTTTATTCATACTGTTTCTGCCACTAAAAATTAAATTCAATAATTAAATTCAATTAATAATAGATCATAAAATGTAATTTCATTGGAAAAACATAGAAATTGTCATTTTGATGGCTATAACTCTAACCCTAACCTAACAGTCTATTAATATTGTGATGAGAATTAGTTGAGATGTAGTTGCAAATTAATGACAGTTAGTCGACATGTAGATTCAAAGTTACTTATGGTTAGTAGAATCTTTAATGTCATAGACTTACATAAATAGATGCCTCATTCTTAGGCCGCTATATGTAAGCCATACATATACATATGTAAAACATTGGAACTGTCAAAGCCAGTTCGTGAACACTCAAGAGCAAGTTGACTGTTCGTCTTCAACCGTAGTTATACTGTACACATGTATGCATATCTACATCTGCAATAGACTTCACCAGATGATTTTGCAAAACTAACACAATACAACAAGACGGAGGCAATAGCTAACACAATATTAAAAAGTTGCAAAAAAAGTTTAAAAACCTGTAATATTGAGTTAATACTTATATAAAACACAAACCAACACATTCTCACCTGTGAAAGTTTATTTAAAATTTAAATCTCTGTGGTTTTTACAGCCAGAGGCTGCGCCATGGTGTGGAATCTAGAAAAGTCATTCATTTTTTTACTGTGAGTGACAACCAGTGTTGGGCAAGTTACTCTGAAAATGTAATCAAATTACTGATTACTGATTACTCGCATCCCGCACACAAACGAAACCCGCCCGCACCAGCACTTGCCCCTTCTTGTCCCACGCCGCAGTCTGTTGCGTCGGGTCTCGCGGGAGCAGGTCTCTAATCCTCTGCACTTGACTCGACAGTGCGTATGCTACATCCTTTTTACAATCTGTAACTTATAAAACACTGCATTCTGTCAGCAATGTAACACGGCAGTAACGTATAGAGACCTCGGCTTGTAACTATACTCTAATTACTATTTTGAAAATTATAACACGTTAAATTACTCCGTTACTAAAAAAGTAATCAAATTACAGTAACGCGTTACTAAGTAATGCGTTACTGCCCAACACTGGTTACGACACAGTGACCATTCTAAGATGATGGGCGCATTGACATGCCTGGAGTGGTTGAATGTGGAATCTACGTATACATATCTATGTCTAAAGTGGACTATCGAAAGAAAGTGTAACCATAATAGCACATGTTAGAATGTTCGTCAACCAGTCAGAATCAAGCATTCAACAGCCCTGTGGTATAAACAGCAATGTTTACCTTTTTTTGGCCAAAACTACTTGTTGCCTTGTTCACATGGGCCGATAACATAAAAGAATTTACGAATTTGAATTTATTTGAAACAGACAGTTTGAACCAATTCACCAAAATAAATTAGTTTTCCCAATGTACACCAGGTAGTTTCCCTAAAGTTTATGGAATAATCAACCACTGGGCCCACTATGATTGTCTTTTCGAGGCAACCAAATATGGCAATTATGCTTTCTCCAATGATACAGTCATGGACATTGCCATTTTCTTCTTTAATAAGAGAATTTCTGATATAAATCAGAGGTGCTGTAAAAAAAAAAGAGAGAGAGAGTTTGAGTTGGGCATTCGTTATTATGACGTGTCCCACATTCAGTCAGAAACATAATATGAAGGTAGCCTAAACAAAACAAACAAAAAGAAATATACAATGTGAACAATAAATCCAAATAACTACATCTGAATTAAAAAATGACCTTATTTTTTGCAAAATCATTCATTATAATTCACACATTTATGGCCATGCCCAGTCTTACGTTAAAAATAAGGTTGATATGAAGCATGGTTTGCTCTCACAAAGGCCTGTGTAGCAGGATTATTGATTTTGTGAGTGTTTGTGTGTTGGTTTGTTTGAGCAGGGTTGTATGTAGCGGTGCAAGGCTACACATCAGTGTCTTCTTGTGCGTTTCTGTGTAAATAATCAGGACAAGTGTGAGAGTTCTAAAGCAAAGAGCTGAGATGTGAATGAATGGAAAAGAAATGGAGGGAGATGTTGAGAAGCGAAGGGAAGAGAGGAGGGCATTAGCAGAGCTGTGAGCAGAGATCTGGGCTGATGTCAACAGGCAGCTGACACACATCACCGCTTTCGCAAATTAATTGGCTTTTAGTCACTGTCCTCTGTTTCTCGAACCCCCCATCCCC